ATGTCACTATGTGTGCTTGTATGTGCGAGGTGTTTTTTTAATATTAGAGTTTTTCTTCTCAGTCAAGAAAAAAAAGTTTAATAGGCATTTATTTGCCTCCACTTCCTACATGTTCCAGTTTCACTACGTTTTGTCTAAGCAGATCTCACTTGTAAATGAATCTTTAAGGCTCAATGTGATTTATCTGTCTAAATAAAGGTTGAAAGAAAAGAAGCTGAGCCAAAGACAAAGCTATTGATTTACTGCTCTGTCTTCATTCCAGCCATTACCATTGTCCAAAAATACAAATTGTGATTAAAAGGTTCAAGGTTCTTTATTGTCATCACATGTGGTACATGGGTTGGAACAAAACTGTGTACCCAAGGTCCCAGTTTCACTCAACAATAGCAAAAATATAAAGTATAAAAAGAAACAGTATATAGATATATATATAGATATATGTATCAAGGCTCAATGGGAGTTACCTGTCTAAATAAAGGTTGAATGAAATATGAGTATCCAAGATATACACTAAACGAATGCTCAACGACGAAAAGAAAGAAAGAAGGAAGAAAGAAAGTCAAATTAGTGGGATTGCCTCTTTACATATATTAATATGGTGTCTAGCCAGTACCTCACTTATTTTTCACGTTATTCCCACAACATGGACGGATGGTTTTTCTAAGTTCCTTCTTTGCACTGCGACGAGGGACAATAAACAAGGCCCAGAAAATCATGATGCCTTTCATGATGTCATTGCTCAGGTGCCTGAGAAGGTCCAGTGCCATCCTAAAAAACCCATCCCACACAGTGTTCAACCTGTTCAAACAGATGCTTTCTGGAATGCGCTTCAGGTCCATGAAGTCCCATATATCCAGATTAATTTTTTTTCCAACCCAAGGCCACCAGAACACTAAATTACTGCTGACCTCCAGACTTCCTGCCTTGTGCAATTCAGTAATCTGTTTGTGAAATTCACTAATGTGTTTATTCTTTCTGTTCCAATAATTTCTCACATATTCAACATATACAATTTTAGAACTGATGTTACATCTGTGCAATACCATACAGTAGTTTCAACTCATTGCTACTTTTGTCATGTTAACTGTAAATATACAAATTTAAAACATCTGAGATTTGTGGGGGACTGGACCCAAGAGCAGACTAAGACTGAAAGGCTTGAATGTAAAAATAACTAAATGGCTGTGGCTGAATGGTTAGTGCAGTTGTCCTCCAATGCAAGAGTTGGTGTTTGAATTCTACCAGCAGTCACATGCCAAAGTGTCCCTGGGCAAAACATGAACCCCTCAATGCCTCCGATGTGTGTCCCATTAGTGTACGAATGTGACCTAAAGCACTGATTAGACTTTGTAAATATATAATAGAGTTGTATGAATGAGTAAAAGAGGGTGCAGATTGTAGTGTAAAGTGCTTTGAGTTTATTGATAAGATAGAGAAGTGCTATATAAGTACATTCCATTTCCAAAAACAGAAACCAACATCTGTCGTGGCAGAAAAACTTAACTAACAAGGTAACTCAAAAGACACAAACCTAAAGTGATGACCCATATTGCAAAAGTGATGAATAACTAAACAAAGACTGATTAAATAGTTGCTGAGGTAGGTGGAAAATGCAAACACCTGGAATGAGTGCTGAGTGAGGGACGATGGTAGACTAACTGGAAAAACACTGAGAAGGTTGACTGAGGGTAAAGGAGAAATGGCACAAAGTGGAGGAATAGGAAACATAAACAAGACCTACACAAGAATGCTAAAATAAACTCAATAATGAAGTACAGAAATACAAATGGATAAGGGTCTAAACTGTCAGGAAAATAAAAGTAACAGAACCCAGGAGACAGAAAAATAAAACATAAACCACAAATAGAATTCTAAGATGAACTAAAAGGACTAAATAAAACTACTGAAAAGCGCAGATACGACCAAAAGGAATGCGTACAGATTTTGTTGTGTACAAGTTGCCATTATTAAATTTTTTTTAATAATGTATAGTTTATTTATTATATTGAGCATGGACTTTATTGTTTATTTATTATAATTTTTATTTTTCTGAACAAAGGAAAAAAAAACTTTTAATTTCATTATATGTGGCATAAAGCCTACTGACAATAAAGCTATTCTGTTCTGTTCTATTCTATTTGCAGATTTTTAGGCAAGCTAGCGAAATGAACTTACCTGTGAGAACTACAAGAAATCCACGAAGCATAAAAAACAGAGAAAAAGAAACATGTCAACAACAATTACAAATACTCATTATTTTTGCAAAATAATAAAATTGTGTAAATATATTTAGCAGTAGATTCAGAATGCATGAATGCAGAAGAATCCAACTAGAGGCCAATATTTTTAAATTGCTTTCTTGAGTCTATTTATGGGGCAGCACGGTGGCGCAACTGGTAGAGCTGCTGCCTCTCAGCAAGCAAGTTCTTGGTTTAAATCCCAGTCCAGGGGTCTTTCTGGTTGGAGTTTGCATGTTCTCTCCGTGCATGCGTGGGTTTTCTCCGGGTACTCCAGTTTCCTCCCACAGACCAAAAACATTCATGTTAGGCTGATTTGTAACTCTAAATTGTCCCTAGGTGTGAGTGAGAGAGTGAATGGTTGTTTGTCTCGTTTGTCTCTATGTGTCCCTGTGATGGACTTGCGACCCATCTAGGGTGTACCCCGCCCCTCGCACAGTGACTGCTGGACATGGGCACTGGCGACACCCGTGACCCAAAATGGAAGAAGTGGGTAAAAGGTAATGGATGGATGGA